GGACTAATGTTATTGAAGTCACACTAAGCGGCCTGGGCATTCTTGCCATTAGCCTGAACTCCCACATTCTCTACAAAGTATTTCAACTAATACAAATAGGCCTGCCAATCAGTGCTAGAATTATTGTGGGGGGAAGTGGCCAGCCCTATTGTCTTCTGCAAGCTCCCCCATCCACACCCACCACTCATTACAACTAAGGTACAGCCCAATATAAAGTAAGCATAGCATACATAGTGTGTATATGTGAAAAAACAGGATCAGGCTCTGAGGAATCAGAAGAAAGGCTATGCAGTCCTGATACTATACAACTTTTAGGGACGTTTTTAATGTTTCATGTTTTATTACGCTGAGGTCCAGCGCCGAGGCTCTTCTGGCGGTTCCCTCACTGAGAGAAGTGAGGTTACAAAGAACTAGGCAGAGGGCCTTCTCGGTAGTGGCGCCCGCCCTGTGGAATGCCCTCCCATCAGATGTCAAGGAAATAAACAACTATCTGACTTTTAGAAGACATCTGAAGGCAGGCCTGTTTAGGGAAGTTTTTAATGTTTGATCTTTTATTGAGTTTTTCATATTTTGTTGGAAGCCACCGAGAGTGGCTGGGGAGGCCCGGCCAGATGGGCGAGGTACAAGTACTTTGTTTTTGTTGTTTGTTGGAAGCCACCCAGAGTAGCTGGGGCAACCCAGTCTGATGGGTGGGGTATTATTATTATTATTATTATTATTATTATTATTATTATTACTATTACTACTACTACTACTACTACTACTAAACTATTATAAGCTGCCAGAAGACCAGTATTGCCCACTGCATTCATAATAAATACAATAAAACCCAACTGCTGCAGGGAAGGGGTGAAGCAGTGCTCTGGAACAACAAAACAAATCTCTCAGTGGCAGCACCGTCTTCATCAAAATGCATAAATGCAGGTCCAAACTAATTCCTCTGCAGAACCACCTGCCTGTAAGGCATTCTGACTTCTATTATTTATGTTGACACCCCCACTTTAAAATAATAAAAACTGTGTATGCGGTTAGGATCCTATTCAGCAAGCAGACCAATCCATAAGTCTCATTTTCACTGTATAGATTAGGGCTGTTTGGAACCAATTAACAGTTGGAACTCACAGCCTTCAAAGATTCTACTATGTGACCTAAGCACTCGGCCAGTACTATTTCCCGGCAGTTTGCAAAAGGATGTGCTTCGTAACCTCATTTTACTGTTCCCCCACTTTCCAAAAACACAGCAGGTTACACAGCCAAACGCATTAACAGCTCTGGAGGCCCGCCAGTTGTTACAAGCATTTTCTGAGCTCACACTATATCAGATCACGACAGCGAGGTTCCTTCCGTGCGCAAGGACAAGGTTAACCAAGTCAGCTGGAAGTTGAAAAGTAATACAGTCTGGGATGCAGCGAGGTCTGCAAAGCTGAATTAAGCATTTTGCGGCTTTGAGGGCCTTCGAGAAACCTCAGCCAGATCCAAAATGCATCTCCTTCCTTGCTTATGCAATAGAACTGTTCGAAAACGTAAATTGCAATTCACATCAGAAGTGGATTTAAGGGAACATAACCAGTTCAGTTGCAGCAGGCTTACGGACGCTCCATCAACTTTGGGGGGGGGGGGCAGAAACAGAACCCCATGCAAAATGGTCACCATATGTATTGCACAAAAATGAAGATCCCCTACTATAACTGATTGGTTAAGGAAAACTATCTTAATGATAAAACTTGCATATGAGAGAAACACAATATTTAATAATCCTGAAAACAAACTTGTTTTCGCATTTCTGGAATGACAAAATAAATGGTGATATTTTTCCTGTTAATTTATTCATGGCAATCTGGAGGTTTTGTTATGCTGTCCCTCACTCCTTTTCATATATATTTTTTTCCCCTTCTGTTATTTTATATTTCACTTGTTTTGCTTTTTTTTTACATAAGATATTTGATATATAATGTTTTTGCTACATATTGTCATAACATAATACTAATAAAAACAAAAAAACAGAAATAATAAATAAATAACAAAACCCCTCCTCAATTTACATAGAAAATTATGGCAAATACCCTTGTCTATCTAAAAGAGAATAAAGAAGAGAACATATACAGTATTAATGTTTGCAGCTTTTCATTAATATAATATATTGTTTTGTAGTGCTGTCACTATGTAGTGCTATTTGGATGTAAAAAAAACAAATTATGGCCTTTCCAAGATGGCAGAATGGTGCATTTTTTTAGAATGGAAAAGAAGAATCCAAATAATGTATAACACATAAAATGTGTAACAGCACATAAAATTTTAGTTGCACAACTTTCTAATACAAGTTCCTGCCCCCTTTTCTAACTTGGTTGTTTTCCTTATAGTTCACCACATTTCTTCAGCTGCTGAAGGTTTAATAAACTACAGTATTTAAAAAACAACAACACAACAATTTTTCTGTCCTATAAAAAGAGCAAAGATTCTTACTGATTACTGCAAGAAAGCTCTCCAAACAGGCTTTCAAAATATCTCTGTGTTATTCTTGACCATCACCATAAAATGCTCAAGTTCATTACAGAAATAGTTTGGAGATATGTAGGTTTTCTCTAGCGCACAAATTATAGTCATTGAATGAAAATTACAGAGGGTATCCACTGAGCTGAGGAGCAACTGGAGACTGAATATTTGTCTGGTTGAGGCCTGGACCTTGACTGATGCATAACAAGCTGGGTCAAGTCTAAAGGCTGCTATGAAACAGACTGGAAGCCGTCATCTAGCAAAAATGCCACTTGACTAAAACAAGATAAACCCTCCAAAGCACATCCATCAACACACTTTCAGGCAAAGTGGTTTCCAAATGTGTCCGAAAGCACTCGAAAATGGTGCTTTACTCACATCACCAATAATTTTTCAGAAATGCATCAGGTAAGACAAAAGTGTTCAAGGTCTGATCCTCCGAAAAGTACTGTACTCAGCCTCAGTTGAACAAACAAAACATATAGGTGTTCTTATGGCTAATGGAAGCCATCAAGGGTCTTAATTCAAGTAAACGGCGTTTCCGTGCACTCTGGTTTCCATCATGGTGTCCCTTTCTGCCAGAAGTGGTTTAGTCCTGCTGGCGACATGACCCAGAAAGCTGTCTGTGGACAAACGCCGGCTCCCTCAGGCTGAAAGCAAGATGAGCGCCGCAACCCCATAGTCGCCTTTGACTGGACTTAACCATCCAGGGGTCCTTTAGCTTTTAATTCAAATAAAGCAATGCTTATTTTGGAATAGTTGTGAGAGTTTATGAGCAGTTTGCTCTAGATCAAGGCAGGAGAATCATTGGCCTTCTAGAAGTTGCTGCTGTACAAATTCTGTCATTTCTAACCATTGGCCATGTTGACTGGGGTGCTAAAGGTCTCAATTAACTGTTTTTGCCTTGCTTCAAAGTAATTCTAGAACCTGCTTTGGGAAATTCCTGGCAAATAGCCGCACTCAGGCCTTTCCCCCCCCCCTAAATTTTTTTTAGGGGTACTCTCATTTTGACTCAAGAAAATCACCATTTTATAGTTCAAATCGGGGGAAATAAATACAGTAAATACAACAAAACTGACCAATCACCGTGCTAGATTCCAACTCCTACTTCACACATTAAACGCTCATTTCCATCTGAGACTCGGGGAAACACCATGACAAGAAATGAGGCCGCTATCAGGGGTAGCAAGGGAACTGACGATTCATCGTGCTAGAGAAGAAACTAAAAAAAAATTAAAATTTTGGTTTCTTCTGCCGTTAGAGTCATAAAACGTTTAGGGCAGGCATAGCCAAACTTGGCCCTCCAGCTGTTTTGGGACTACAATTCCCATCATCTCTGACCACAGGTCCTGTTAGCTAGGGTTGATGGGAGTTGTAGTCCCAAAATAGCTGGTGGGCCAAGTTTGGTCATGCATGGTTTAGGGGTATGTGCACCCCTGCTTCCCCCCAGAAAAACAGCACTGGACACACACTAATTTCAACAGAGGGGCTACAGGTTTAATTCCTTGAAGCTGCTCACACAATCCATGGGACTCTACAACTGCTTGGGGTTGTCCTGTCATCCGACAGAGGAGAATGCCTGAAGTTAACTCAGAAGGGATGGATGCCACTGCCCTTCCACACACTCCAGTGTCTGCTGCCTGAAGCATCCACCATATTTTCCCTAACAGTAGGGCCGGCCGCGCCACATCTGAAGGGGCTTCAGCTGCCACATTCCCATGTGGTTTCAAAGCAATATTTTAACATCATTACATTCTGATCAAAGGCAATCGGATTATAGTGATTTCTATGGGTTATGTATGTGGTGGGTGGAACCTCCAAGAAAGCAATAGGAGGCAGAAGTGCACAGTGGTCGAACCATGGACTCTATCCTGCACATGACGTAGCGCTCTTTCTGTGAGATCTGAAGCAGATATAAGGCTTCTCTTCCCTAGTGTGCATATTAAATTACAGTGGTACCTCGGTTGTCGAACGTCTCAGAAGCCGAACGTTTTGGTTTTCGAACGCCGAAAACCCAGAAGTAAATGCTTCTGTTTTCGAACGTGCCTTGGAAGTCGAACAGCTTCCGAGGCGCATTTCTCAATTTTCTGAGTCAAATTTGGCGACCGCACATTGCGCCCCAGTTGTTGAATGTTTCGGAAGTCTAACAGTCTTCCAAAATGGATTACGTTCGTTAGCTGAGGTACCACTGTACATGGATTTGGGAAATAATGCTTCTCCAGGCAATATGACAAAGCTGATTAAAATCAAATGCCAAATTAATCTTCTCAACGTGTTTTTATATCATAATTTTATCCTGTGAACTGCCCTGAGACCTGTGGCTATAGGGCAGTATAGTTGTTGTTGTGGTGGTGGTGGTTGTGGTGGTGGTGGTGGTATAGTTGTTTTTGCTGTTTTTGTTGTTTCTTGAGCAAGAAAAAAGTCTGGGAAGAATTTTTCTCCATTTATAACCACACAAACATGTGAGTGTGCATGAAACAAATATCGATTCAGCGTTATTCAATTACCTGAAGGATCCATCGACAAGAGAAAGTGATATTTTCCAGCCAAGGCGATAAACAGGAACAGTTGGAGTGTGTTGCGTCCATTATAGATGTATCTGGAGAGAGAACAATGTGGGAAACATTTTTATCTCATGCTGTGTGCTCTTCATCTCTCCACCACTGAGCTCAATTCTAGGCCATTTCGTCTGACATTGCTTCAGGGCAAAAATCATGGAAAGACCAACGCATGGGACACGCAACCAGTAAACAATCTGAAGATGGTAGAAGAAGAGTTTGGATTTGATATCCCGCTTTATCACTACCCGAAGGAGTCTCAAAGCAGCTAACATTCTCCTTCCCTTCCTCCCCCACAACAAACACTCTGTGAGGTGAGTGGGGCTGAGAGACTTCAGAGAAGTGTGACTAGCCCAAGGTCACCCAGCAGCTGCATGTGGAGGAGCAGGGACGCAAACCCAGTTCACCAGATTACGAGTCTACTGCTCTTAACCATGACACCACACTGGTAGTACAATTAATGCCAGTAAACTTGGTCCAAAGTTTTCCTGTGCTTTCCCCCTCATCGACTGTCATAGGACTGTCAAAGGGGAGATCTTCCTACACCACTGGTTTTCAACCAGGGTGCCATGGCACCCTGGGGTGTCTCGAATGATGCTCAGGGGTGCCGCAGGCAACATTGGCCTATGTCCCTCATTCCTTCCCTCCATTCCTCTGATACCTTCTCATGTCTCTACCCCCCAAAGGCTTACACAACTGTTTGTTGCAGCAGCCTTGGCTACAAGCTCCCCAGGGGAATGGCGCCTCTGGGGCTGGCATGGGGATGCTTCTCAGGCCCCTGTAGGGCAGTGCGGGGAGGCAGCTCTCTTTGGGGCAGAGGGGAAGCTCAGAGACCAGGGGGCCTGCCCAGAGGTCTCCCAAGGAGAGGAGGCTGAGGGGACACAAGGGAGGGTATTCAAAAAGGGGTGAGGGGCTGCTGGCTCAGAGCCCCACAGGGGTTCAAAAAGGGGTGACAGAACTGGGCTCCTGAGCCCCACAGGGGTGCTGCAGGAAGAATATACAGTGGTGCCCCGCAAGACGAATGCCTTGCAAGACGAAAAACCCGCTAGACGAAAGGGTTTTCCGTTTTTTAGTTGCTTTGGAAGACGATTTTCCCTATGGGCTTGCTGCGCAAGACGAAAACGTCTTGCGAGTCTTGCGATTTTTTTCCGCTCCCCCCCCTTTTTCTAAGCCGCTAAGCCGCTAATTGCCTTTTAGCCGCTAAGCCGCTAAGCCTTTAATAGCTGCTAAGCCGCTAAACTGCTAATAGCGCTAAGCCGCTAATAGGGTTGCTTTGCAAGACGAAAAAACCGCTAGACGAAGAGACTCGCGGAACGGATTATTTTCGTCTTGCGAGGCACCACTGTAGTTGGTCAAGGGAGCCATGGACCCCAAAAGGTTGAAAACCTCTGTCCTACACAATAACATGCATGCTGGGTTTCCGGATTGGGTCCATTTTGTATTGGAAATGACTGTGCCTTTTCCAGACCTTGTCACTTGGGGCAACTAGAATTGGGCATCGGAACCAAAGTGTGGGCGAGTTATTGATTTGCAGATTGGCATTGGGGTATTTCTGCATTCTTATGCCTTCCCTAATGCTTATTAATATTATATTTACCTATGGCAATCTTCAAACCCACCTACTTTGTACTTTAAAGAGTCTTTTGTTCCACTCTCTTAGATGGGCTCTCAGTCATTCATCGTGAGCTTCCTTAAAAACCATTTGCCACAATTACACTGCCGTTGGGGAAATGGCATTGCTATTATTTTGTCAGGTAATAACCGTTATTAAAAAATAACAACAGCGGTGATTTTTTCCTCAGAGGTAATAACTATTGGACTATATTGTCATCATGTGAGCAATAATTTTTTTGTGTCAAGAGGAAAACTAAATTGACAAAAGCTGCGTGTAACGGGGGAGAGGAATGTCGTAAGACTCACAGTACAAGCTGTTGCACATTGATTCCAATGTACCATCAGTCCCATCATCTTCAGTGGGGTGTACAGTAAATTTGTTTAGAACACCAGTCTTGCAGCACATTCTTTGATGTGTCGACTCAAAAGTAAGCCCTACCAAGTGCAATGTGACTTACTCCCAGGCAAATGTGTCTAGGATTGCAGATTTAATGGCTCTGAATCTCGCTGTGAGAAACGGCTGTTCTCAAACAAGTTTATGTCACATAGACGCCATTTACCGAGTGGCAACTTACAGAGGTGAGAGTCCGGTGTTGTGGGAAGTTGTCTGCATTCTACTCTCCCCTGAGCCATCAGCTATTTTTCAGCTGTGGCAATCTGTTAAAATCCTCACCAGATGCTGCAGATGACTGCTTACCCACATGTCCTGAATGTGCACATTGAGAAGTAACTGCTTCGGCTCTGTGCAGATATTCCTAGCTATGCCAGGGGTCTGTGTGGCATGATTCTACCAGCTAGTCCCAACCCTTCCGAGCACTCATGTGTTGGGTGGCATAGTGACCTCCAAGCACACTGCAGAATAGAGGGAGGAGACTCTTGAGAGTCCCATGGACTGCAAGAAGATCAAACCTATCCATTCTTAAGGAAATCAGCCCCGAGTGCTCACTGGAAGGAAGAAGATGAAGAAGAAGGGTTTGGATTTGATATCTTGCTTTATCACTACCTGATACCTGAAGCTGAGGCTCCAATACTTTGGCCACCTCATGAGAAGAGAGGACTCCCTAGAAAAGACCCTGATGTCGGGAAGGATTGAGGGCACAAGGAGAAGGGGACAACAGAGGGCGAGATGGTTGGACAGTGTTCTCAAAGCTACTAACATGAGTTTGACTAAACTGCGGGAGGCAGTGGAAGACAGGAGTGCCTGGTGTGCTCTGGTCTAGAGAGTCACAAAGAGTCGGACACAACTAAACGGCTAAACAACAACAACATGTGCAAGCCACTATGTGCACAAGCCGTCGAGCTAGCACATCAATGGTAGCACTAGCTGCCACGATTTAAAAAAAAAAGCCCTTCTGTGTCAAGATATGACAAATATTTGCACAGCGAACTTAAACAATGCTTCTCTGAACAGGGCACATTCTACCATATGTGGTGGACATGCAAGATAATGAAAGTACATTGGAAAATGATTTATAATGAGTTCGGGGGGGGGGAGGTTTAAAATAACTTTTGTGGAAAAAACAGAAGCTTTTTAATTAGGAATTTTAGGTCCAGAAATACCAAAGGAGCAGAAAAGACTATGCATGCAACAACAACTGCAAGGATACTTCTGGGCCAGAGGAATGGTTAACAAAGATGATGGACTATGCCGAAATGGCAAAAATGACTGGGAAGATCAGAAACCAAGAAGACAATAAATTTAACAAAGAATGGGGAAAATTTATAAGCTATTTAGAAAAATACTGTAAACAATTAAAAACATTGTCAGGATTTTAACACCTGGAATGTAACAAACACTATGATAACAATTCAGTTTGAAGGAAATATGGAGAACATTATACGATGCAGTTGGGAAAAGAATAACTATGGAACTCATGGAGGGGTGGAGGGAAGTCTAGGGATTCAGAGAATCCTATTTGTATATGATTATGAGTTACATATGAATGCAAATGTAAAATCGAATAAAACTATTTTTTAAAAATAAAATAAACAATGGTTCTTTGATTGTGTCCATACTAAGCTGTTTGCAGCACAAGAATGTAGCTTTTCCTCGATCCAGAATTGTTTGCAACATGCTGCTTTCCATCTGGATTCATTCTAGATAATACTGTCCACAAAGGTGGCTGTGGTTACTTGAAACCTGTTTGGAGATCCTCCCTTAGTCATGGTGGCCACATGACCCGGAAGCAGTACGCCGGCTCCCTCGGCCAATAAAGCGAGATGAGAGCCGCAACCGCAGAGTCGGCCATGACTAGACCTAATGTCAGGGGTCCCTTTACATAAATATATATAGAGAGAAAGATATATAGATAGATACAGATACAGATACACAGATACAGATACAGATACAGATACAGATATATATGGACGTGGGAGGGCTCTTTGGGGTTTTTTCCCCCTTTGTTTCCAGCCAGCAAAAATTTGTTTCACTCCCTGGCAAGAATTGTGTGTGGAGCAGCTGGAGTAACTTTGCAGGAGACGCCGCATCTGAGCTGCCCCCAAAACATCTTGGGTGGATTGAATTAGCTGTACATTTCACTTTGATTCAGGGTGTTCGTCTGGAAAGATATAGCCTCCCCCCTGTCCTCTGTGTCACCCTGCTGTTTTCTCTCGCTCCCTCTGCTCTGCAGTTTGATTTCACTTCAGTCTTTGATCATTATTCATCTCTGTGGCTATGATTTTCTTATTTTATCACTGTAATGTTCAGGAGTCCCATTCCCCCCCCCCCCGCATAAGTTTTGGTTATGTCATTCTCCTTCTTCCTGACATTTCTGTAAATTCATTGGTTCATCATCCTCTGCTCCAAAGCTGAGGGTCATAGGAGTTCCATCTCAAAGCCCTATTGCTTTTATGTTTCTTATCGTTTGACTGAGTGCCCATTCACACAATGCCAATTTGCATGTATGCAAACGAGCCTCCCAAAAGGATCACAGGAAAAGAGGGCAAAATAAGTTTGCATTAAAATCTGTTTAGGATGATCTACATGTGTAGATGCAAATTCTGAAATAATTTGCATAGCATTTGCATATGGTTATTGATTAAACATCTCCGACTTTCATAAAAAGGATCAGGCAGCAGATCTTGTGAAAGACCTACATTGAGGCAGTCAAAGTTGTCAATATTGTGCTAGGTGGGAACATAGTCTGTCTTGGTCATATGTTACAGTATCAGGGACTGAGCTGAGGAGAGCTGCACTGAGGAAGAATGGTGGGAGCCTCCCCCTCCCCCTGCTCCTGATCAGGATCCTGAATCTTCCCAGGAGCAGGAGAACAGTGTAGATTTGGAACAGTGGTTTGCAGAAGGACATAGTTCAGAAGGCAGAAGCTGGGAAATACTGGATGGGGAACAGCTAGGAGGAGAAGAACTGGGAGGGAGAGAGTTAACAGATTCACTGTTTGGAAAGCATTAATTCACTCAGCCCAAGGTCAAGAAGAGCTGATAAGGTGGCAGCACAGTGGTTACAAGCTCAGGGTACAAGACATGGTGGTGACAGGGTGACTAGGAGTAAGTGGGTGGAACCATTAATTGGGAGCATTGCCATTCCTAGGAATTAGATTCTTTGTTCTCTCACTGTGATCATTAAAGTTTCTAACTGGTTCTGCTTATCTACTGCCAAAGGGGGAGGAAGCTGATTCCCTGAAGCCTGACATACTGTGACATAACCCTCATTCATATATTTGGTTGGGGATGGCAACATAATTATATGTTGGAAGTGGAAGGAAAAGTGAAAGGGCCATAGCTCAGGGATAGAGCATCTGTCTTGTATGCAGAAGCTCCTAGGTTCAATCATTGGCAGCTTCATGCAGGGCTGGGAATGTCTCCAGTCTGAAATCCTGGAGAGCTGTTGCTAGCCAGTGTTGACAATACAGAATTCAGTGATCAAGGCTCTGGAAAGCAAGCCTTATGAGGAATGGTTGAAGGGTTTGTTTAGCCTGGAAAAGAGGAGACTGAGAAGAGATATGATAATCATCTTCAAAAACCTCGTTACATGGACGAGGGAACACTTGTGTTTTCTCCTGCTCTGGAGGGTAGGACTCGAACCAGTGGCTTCAAGTTTGAAGAAAGGAGATTCCAACTTAACTTTCGGGAAAACTTTCTGACAGTTAAGAGCTCTTCGGCAGTGGAACAGACTCCCACGAGAGGTGGTGGACTCTTTCCTTTGATGTTTTTACGCAGAGGTTGGATGGCCACCTATCATGGATGCTTTAGTTGAGATTCCTGCATTGCAGGGGGTTGGACTAGATGACCCTTGGGGTTCCCTTCCAGCTGTACAATTCTATGATTCTATGACCCAATGGAGTGACTTGGTGCTAGTATCTTTGCTGTTCGTGCACTACCTAAGCTCCTTGTGGCAGTGATGCATTTTGTATATTTTTTTAATGGAATTCCAAGTGTTTTGTATGACTGTGTCATTATTATACAGTGGTACCTCAGGTTACAGACGCTTCAGGTTACAAACACTTCAGGTTACAGACTCCACTAACCCAGAAATAATACCTCAGGTTAAGAACTTTGCTTCAGGATGAGAACAGAAACCGTGCGCTGGTGGCGTGGCGGCAGCGGGAGGCCCCATTAGCTAAAGTGGTGCTTCAGGTTAAGAACAGTTTCAGGTTAAGAACGGACCTCCGGAATGAATTAAGTTTTTAACCCGAAGTACCACTGTACAGTCAAACCTCGGTTGTCAAACGTAATCCGTTTGGCTTCCGAAATGTTTAACAACCGAGGCACGGCTTCCAATTGGCTGCAAGAGCTTCCTGCACTCAAATGGAAGCCACGTTGGACGTTTGGGTTCCAAAAAATGTTCAAAAACCGGAGCATTTACTTCTGGGTTTTTTCGGTGTCCAGGAGCTGAAACGTTCCAAAACGGAGCTGTTCGGGAACAGAGGTTTGACTGTAACATATCTACGTTGACATATTTAAATCTGTCACAAGTCACTTGGGAACCTCAGTGTAATACACAGCCAACCAGTCCAATAAACAAACGAACAATACAAAGCAGCTTCTTATGTTCCCATAAGCATCTCTCCTTTGCCAGCCAGCCCAATAGACTCCATTTGTGAACCAGGTATTCCATGTAGGCACCTGATCACACACAGAGAGCCCCCACATCTGTGTGATCTTTGGAAGAGAAGGATCACGTGAACCAAGCCTGTGGGTGTTCCTGTGGAGATCTCAGCTGACATGGGAGGATGTCTGTACGGTGTAGATTATACTACCAGATTATACTCTGCACTCCACCCCACTCCAAAGTTACAAATAAGCCACTTCTGTGATTATGGCTGCTAAACTATTGCAGCCACAGGACTTGCTGGTTTTCTGATTGCTAGGTTAATCCGTTATGTTTGTCCATGTGAGCGCCTACCCAGAACTGGTCATGTGGACCAAAAAAAAAAAAAAGCAGAGTTTGAACCAATCCTTGGAGAATTCACTTGGCAGTGGAAAATTTGTTCCGACAGCGACATTCCTTGTGCTACATCTCCCCCTTCTGAGCCAGCCAAAAACAGCAGCCTTGGTTCCTGAGGATAAACCACTGTGCAATTTTTGTTCCTGAGTATTGATTGTCAAGTTACCCGGAAACCAGAAGGGAGTCAAGTCCTGGCCTAAGACTGGCCACAACATTAAGAAAAATTTTAAAGGTTTTTTAAAGAGTAGGTAGAGATGCAGAGAGAATTTAAATAAACAAAAACCTTCAAGAGACTAGATGCAAAAAGGATGTTGCTCCTGTACAGTTAATAGTTCTGAAGGAGAATTGAATTTAGCAGCGACAGCATCTTACCCCTCCCTAGAAGTGACAGCTCCCAAAATCTTCTAATTTGTATGGGAACTCCTGCACGCTAAAAAGGAGGAGGAAAATACAAACATTCATGGGCTAAAAAGGAGATAAATGATAGGGGGAAATATAAGCATCTTCTGGTTAGTTTGGGGGCCTGGAGCTGGAAGCCAGTGTGGTGTTCTGGTTCGTATGTTGGACTTGAGCCTGGCAGATCAGAATCCTCACTCCGCCATGAAGCTCTCTGGGTAACCTTGGGCCAAGCAGCCTAACTCATGCAGCGATAAAACTGCTGGCACATTTGCAAAGCTAAGCAGGGTCCAGTTTGGTTTCAAATTGGATGGGAGCCTTTGTGCTGAGATTTCTGCATTGCAGGGGGTTGGACTGGGTGACCATCGGAGTCTCTTCCAACTCTACTATTCTAGGGCTGTTGCGAGGACAAAATGGACAGAGGGAGAACCATGTGTGCCAGCTAGAGTTCCCTGAAGAAAAGGGAGATAAAACCTGAAATAGCAGTGATGATTTTGTGCCAGTTCTGATCTTACCTGTCTCAGGATGGATTTGGACAGTAAGACAGGATGCATTATGTATTCATTAACCTTCCTCTTGCTCGCTTGAGTAAGATGAGCGTCACGTTTAGCAGAGTTAAATATATACCACCCTTTGCAGCATGAACACAGAAACTTGGGACAAAGCTTTCTGTTGTGTTTTATAGTGCGTTTAATATTCTGTTGGGAGCTGCCCAGAAACCTGGGGAAACTCAGCCAGATGGTCGGGGTATAAATATATTATTATTATTAATTATTAATTATTAATTATTAATTATTAATTATTAATTATTAATTATTATTGTTGTTGTTGCTATTATTATTATTATTATTATTATTCAGGATGCTTTAGGAAGGCTGGCTCTTCTCCTTTATTTTATTTATCCCTCTAAACAAAACAACAGCACAGAAGTCTGTAATGGAAGAATACTTAAAAAAATAGAATCGTTTACTTACATAAAACTGCAGGTGCAATTCAAGCAGAAAACAGCCGTGAAATAAGTCAGGCAAAATATACTTCTAGATGACAAAATACATGGTTTAGGGTCAAAGGTGGTGCTTTTGACCCTCTTATGCCTTCCCTAAGGCTGTAGGAAGACAAACAGACTGTTCCCCAGGTGAGAGCAAATGCTAAGGATCATCTTCCTGTTGTTACCTTTCCCACCTGGGCAAGCAGAGGATGTGACCTCACAAAGTGCCCTCTAGGAATTTAAAGGGAACTTGTGTCTTAACCCTCTGCTCACCTAGCAAACGTGGATTTACGGTATTTTTATTTTATTTTGTCAGAGGCACTGCATTTCCCCATAACTTGGAGGGCTGGCGCTTGGTATCTGGCAGGGATGGGGAGTTGTGGTCAAACATTGGAGGCCTGATGGGTTTCTCATCTCTCGCCTATGAGTGTTTCCATTTCATTTCTCGTCCTGTTTAACTTTATGGGGTTCTCTCTCTTCCCCATCCCCATGGATAGCTCAGCTTATTGGCCATGAACCACCTTCCTTGTTGCTTGTTGCAGTTGCTTGGAACGAGGAGCGGTTCTCCCATTCAGCCCAGCGACATGGCTTATAAAATCCAGAAGAGATAAACACGCTTTTAAAAAATTGAAAATGGGGACATCATATTCTTCATCAAATACCAGGGTCTGTGCATTGAAGTGAACACCCAGGTACTTTGAATATCTGCAACACTTCTGGGTAATCATATTCTGCTTCAGTGTTGTGTAACATTTAAAAAAAATTTTTTTTTAATTATTTATACCCCACGCATCTGGCTGGGTTCCCCCAGCTACTCTGGGTGACTCCCAACAGAATATTAAAAACACGATAAAACATCAAACGTTTAAAACTTCCCTAAAGAGGGTTGCCTTCAGATGTCTTCTAATAATCAGATAGTTGTTTATTTCCTTGACATCTGATGGGAGGGTGTTCCACGGGGCGGGCGCCACTACCGAGAAGGCCCTCTGCCCATATCCTGTGTTAAGGGAAGAACCAAACTACGCATTAGGTGTAACCATGGGGTCGGGGAACTGTGGCCTCTGCACATTGCTGGGCTACAAATCCCATTACCCCTAACCGTTGGCCATATTTATAACCACTCTTGGGCGCCACCTGCACAATGTGTTTAAAACATCTTGAAGTCATGGCTTCTCCCACCCCCCAAATAATAATCCTGGTAAAGGTACCGTATTTTTCACCCTATAGGGCGCACTGGCCCATAGGGCGCACCTAGTTGTTTTTTTGGGGGGGGGAATGAATAAAAAAAATTATTCCCCCCCCCAGCCGCAGTAAGCCCGAGATTCCCCCGACCCCAGCCCCCAGAACAGGCTGCTGCCCGCAAGCCTTGTGAGCCCGGCTGCAACTCGGTGCGCACCGACCCCTCTCGCTCTCCAGGCTTCAGCGGAAGCCTGCATTCGCCCCATAGGACGCACACACATTTCCTCTTCATTTTTGGAGTGGAAAAAGTGCGTCCTATAGGGCGAAAAATAACAGTAGTTTCTTAAGGGTGCTGAGAGTTGTTAGGAGACACCTCACAAAGCTTCAGTTCCCCGTCACCTGGCCAAGTGGGATCAGTTGTTAAACCACACTGGGAATTTTAGCTCTGTGAGGGGCATAGGACAGTTCTAACAACTCTCAGGACCCTCAAAACTACAGTTCCCAGAATGTTATGTAGGATTTTAAAACAGTCAAACTGCTTTCAATGTACAGTGTGGTGCAGACGGGTCCTTAGTAATTACACACATATCTAGTAATCGGATACTGCTTCTTGAGTGTATCGTGGCTGGGTACATATTGAAGACATGAGTGCAAAAGTGTGACGACTACACGAGAAAAGCAAAGGAGGCGTGTGAAGTGACTAGGAAGGAAATGATGGCATGATCAAAGCAAAATGCAGGGATGAGACTTCTGGGTTCTAGAGACCTCTGCTGTTCAAGAGAAAAGTTTCATGTTCTGCCTGGACTACAAACTGCGAAACTAAAATGCAGACATTCTGAAAGATCTGCTGCTACACAGCATATGTTTTAGTGACTGCTAGAAGCATCTTGTTTAACATTGTGCTTTGCTGACATTTATAGTGTTGTATTATTTTGTTTGAAGCCAACTCAAGATTTGGAGAGATACTATTGTTTTAAATAAATCAGCACTGTCTCAATTAAAACAAGGAAACTCCCTAAACACCTTGTCCATTTCTTTGTAATTAGCACAGGTGGTGTTTTTTATTAAGTGGCATACCGAATTTTATTAACAAATTGCTTACACATGCCATGTATCGCACATGTAGATTTAGGATGATCAGTACATCATCATATGGATTTGGATTTAGATTTAGGATGATCATCACATGTCATCATTTTCTTATTGCTGAATTCAGTGCTGACCACCTGCCCACCCACCCCTTAGTGACACAAAAACAGAGTTCAGAACCATGGTAAATTTCATATAAATTCTACATGACTCGGATGCATGAATGTATGCAGAATACAGTGGTACCTCGGGTTACATACGCTTCAGGTTACATACGCTTCAGATTACAGACGCCACTAACCCAGAAATAGTACCTCAGGTTAAGAACTTTGCTTCAGGTTGAGAACAGAAATCGTGCTCTGGTAGTGCGGCGGCAGCAGGAGGCCCCATTAGCTAAAGTGGTGCTTCAGGTTAAGAAGAGTTTCAGGTTAAGAACGGACCTCCAGAACGAATTAAGTACTTAACCTGAGGTACCACTGTACTGAAGTGTGGTTTGTATGGCATGCTTCCATATACATGTTCACTGGAACGATACAGTTCATTAGTACTTTATGATGGCCTGTAACATATGCAATGTGCACTTTAGACTATGGTATGCACCAGGGCTGGATTTAGGTTTGATGAGGCCCCAAGCTACTGAAGGTAATGGGGCTCTTTATATAGCAGGCGGGGCCCATTACTTACATCATAGGAGCCTACACAACACAAAACACTGTTGCTGTATGTAGCTTTTATTTTATTTGTTTTTTCTCTTACATTTTGGAAATGTACATCCGGGTTTTTTTCCTTTAATTTTTGGGGGCCCCAAGAGAGTGGGGCTCTAAGCTATGGCTTGCTTAGCTTATACGTAAATCCGGCACTGGTATACACTGACATGTCTTGCAGGAATTCCAATCTGCTGTGGTGTCACACATTGCAATCACAAAGTGAGATTCCCCCACCATTAACACACAAGTTAATGAGACTTATTTTGGAATCAGCCCAAAGCGTTTTGACTTAAATATGCATAAATGTAAAGGTAAAGGTACCCCTGACCATTAGGTCCAGTTGTGGCCGACTCTGGGGTTGCAGTGCTCATCTTGCTTTATTGGCCGAGGGAGCCGGTGTATAGGTTCCAGGTCATGTGGCCAGCATGACTAAGCTGCTTCTGGCGAACCAGAGCAGCGCAAGGAAACGCCGTTTACCTTCCCGCCGGAGCGGTACCTATTTATCTACTTGCACTTTGTGCTTTTGAACTGCTAGGTGGGCAGGATCAGGGACCGAGCAACGGGCGCTCACTCCGTTGCGGGGATTCGAACCGCTGACCTTCTGATCGGCAAGCCCTAGGCTCTGTGGTTTAACCCACAGTGCCACCCGCGTCGCATAAATGCATGCTGCAGTGTAAATAAATGCCACCCATGTCTTGCAAGCGTGGTGCTTGCAGGACACACAACGCAACCTTTGTGCTTAACAGACTTCCTCATTCAATTAACTGAGAGGACAACTCCATATTTGCAACTATTTCCTTAGGTTGACCAGGCAGTGGGGAGGACTGAAGGCCACGCAAACATGAACATATTAGGATGTTGTAAATAAACGTTCATGGGACATTGGTCCCAGGCAACAAATGGTTTACATGTTTTGCCGTTTCCACTCACTCCAGTGTTAAGCTCTGATGGAGAAAAAGATCACACACAACCAGCAAAGTCTGCTTTGCCAACATAATGCCCATATTTAATCTTTTTAAACATGAAAAACCAGAGTAAAAAAATCATTTAGTTTCATACAGTACGTTTTCATAGTCTTTTAGCAACATCCCATCTACAGTACTCAAAAGTCTGATGCGAAATATTTCTCAGAATTTAACAAGTGTATAACCAGCAACACAGTAAAGCAGAGCTTCTTTAGATGTAACAAGATCTAACTTATTTAGCAAATGGCTTCCTTGCTCACTAAAGCCAGATCCTTTTTTTACACAGGCATTACCCAGTTATCTGAAGTTTGATGCTAGTATGAGAAAATGCTGTTGTGTGGCTCATCTTAACACCACACCAGTGTGAGGAGTAGCAGTCCAGTGACTCATAGTGCTGCCAGCATAACACAAGTACTAGGCCCTAGAGTACTTTTCACCAACGTGGTGCCCCTCCAATTGTTTTGGACTACAACTCCCATCAGCATATGCTGTCTGCAGCTTATGTGAGTTGTTGTCCAAAACATCTAGTCCAAAACATCCAAAACAGCTGCCTTGGAGACTGCAACACAGGGGAATGTTCTAAATAAAGTTGTACAGCCGTGCCTCGGCAGTTGAACAGAATCCGTTCCGGAAGTCCGTTCGACTTCCAAAGCACGGCTTCTGATTGGCTGCAGGTAGCTCCATGCCAGACATTCGAGTTCCAAAAGAAAGCTCGAATACCGGAACACTCACTTCTGGTTTTCGATCGTTCGGGAGCCGAAATGTTCGACTCCCAAGGCGTTCGGGAGCCGAGGTACGACTGTACTTGGATCTTGAATTTGTAAATAAACAACAACCCGGAACAACGTAAATCAGGTTCTGTAATGTACAGGAACATGTTTAAAATGAAATTGCATGCATTTATTTCACCACATAATTATCTAATTAGATGCACAAATATGGAAACTCTCTTTTAAAATAAGCAATACTTTACATTGTGCTGGTTATACTTTTCTAAAGACTTAAAAATAAAATGAAGAGACATTGTATATGTAGGGAGAAAGCTTCTGTAGGAAGCCTAAAAATCAGGGCAACTTTCTTCTTTGATTTTTAAGCAGTGGATGCTAAATGGCTTACCTGTCCTTGATTAATAAAAAATATAGTTACTGAAATACCTGTATTATACCAAGTCAACAATTCATGTTTTGAAAGCATAAGCTGTCTCAAGACATCACCAAGTGGTTGTGGAACTGAAATTGGAAGAATGAGTTGTTTCCTAGTGGTCTGAGTTCTGTGTGCAGAAGACAATTAGATGTACATATTCCCTCTGAACTAGATTGCATTTTTTGAAACAACCTCTTAAAATAAAAAGCAGTAATACAAAATGCTCCAAAGTTTTATGCTGTGACAGGGCATCAAATCTACCTCCACCATTTAACAGCAGAAAATACTAAACATCTATTGAATCCATGAAGCTGCAATTCTTCACCTAAGCACAATGGGAGATGCAAGTTTGTACCTTCAAGCAATAAACAGTCATGTGAAATATTGAGGTTGTAAACTGGGGATTCAATGCTTTCCTTAAGGAGGAAGTAGAAAGAATTTTTCCTTCCATACTGTGGTAACAATAAGGCCAGTCATAACATTCTGGCTTATTTTAAGTGCCATTGTTTGTTTTTACTTCTTGATATTATAGGAAAATATTATTTTGAGATAGTATCTAGATGCAAAGGAAATCCTTGCGCCTGGGGATTTCTCATTGACATTTTTAAAAAGAACATCAAAATTACAGAAAAATAGACCTGGTATCAGACAGACATAACAGACCTTTGTTATGTACACCAAAAAAGGTTTAAGAAAACCTTTACAACTCTAACCTTAATAGAACACACTTGGGCAACAAACATACCTCATGAGCCACTGACTGTGTCTGTTTTTTGTTTCCCATTCCCATTCAAGCAGCATACAGGTGTATAAAGTGTACAGATTCAAAAGACACACAGACATATGCAATGAAGGTGTTTGATCAATCGCTTCCTTGAAATTTATCATGATTCTCTAAAGCTACACAGATTACAAGCTTCATCTGAAAAATTTCCTTCCAGATAAGAGTAGTGTGTCCAGCAACTTTATGTGTCTATTAGCACATAAGAATCATAGAAGCAATAGATTAAAAAAGTCAGCCCAATCCAGTACCTTTAACTGATTTGACAGATCTGCCATTTCACTTTTGATTCTGTAAGACTTCTCGAAGCAGCGAACTCGGCACACCGCAGTTAACCTGAAAATCTCTATAAACATGATGAACTCTCGAGACATTTGGTTTGGCAGCGCGTCACCTAAAGCATCGCTTCCGTTGTTCCCATGGGTCAACCACCTTTCGTTTGGTTAACTTCTTCACAGTTGAAAAATATTGTGAAGAAATTATATGCATGTTGTTTCAATTAGAACTATTTACATACATACACTTAAATATATACATACACAAACAATGTATTTCTTAAAAGTCATAACACGCCCAACATCTCTTCATACTATACATACATACAGCACATGTGCGCTTGTGCTTGGAGCTATCTAATCAGTTTACAATGAGACTTCCCCATGGAGCTCCTGAGCTTCCGAAAAGCAAAACAAATTTTCTGAGCTTCCTACTGAACCAAGATGAGATGCTCAAAGGGGGGGGGGATAAACAAATTAAATCCATCTTCAATTACTGTAGTGTCATTTATCCAAAATTCTGTTTTCTGCATATAGCCATTGTGCATTCTTGTTTATAGCAGAGCCAGTTAATTGGTCTTTACTGTAAGGGTGCAGTAATTAACAGTCAATATCCATAAGATTGAATGTAACCTCTTCACTTTTAGTGCATATGGGGCTGTTTTTGGATAATCATGAAGAAATCTGTGGCCATGTTGTCACTGACGGAAAAAATGGTCAACCCGAAACGTTGTTATTGCATGGCAACAGAACATCTATCACACAGACAGCAAGTTCTTCTTCTCCACAAAAGGTACATACATACAAACAAACAAACAAACATAAATAAACATTTTATAGCATGAAATAACCACAGTTAATTGACAGGAAGCAAGTCCATTCTATAAACAAGAGGTAAAAGCCTATGGGTGAACTTTAAAGGCCAGGAGTTCCTCAGAGTGCATGTTGTTTAAGGAACGCAAGTCAGGCAACTTCAAGAGTAGTTTTGTAAATATAGAGGCTTCGTTCGGATGGTTTTTTGTGATTAAGGTCCTAAGCACGCGAATTAGTGTTTCTTGCAATGCTTCCACCGAGTTGACATTTTCTATTCCCGATCGTTCTAAACAACAGAAGAGAACGGAACGGAGACGGTTATTTGGTGTGCCAATTTAACACTGGTTAGTATGAAATTCAACTCTATGTTCAGCTATTCGTCAAAGCATTTGTGTTAGTGGGAATTCAGGGTTGACTAATGCAAGAGTTAATACAAATGGAGGCATAAACCTACATACTGAAGCTTTTAGTTAGGTGCCTGTTTTGCAAAGCACTTCCCAACATCCTCACATAACAAAAAAATCCTACCCTAAGTCAAAAGGGTTGTATTCAAGGTTAGCCAAACTCACCGAGTAGACCCACTGGAATTCGTGAACGTGACTAACTTATGTTCGTTTATTTTAGTGGGTTTACTCAAAGGTACCCCTGGAATGCAGAGCAGTGTCCCCTTATTTTGTGATGCTATGAACAATTCAGAACTCCTCTTCTTTTGTAGCAAGAGGAATTTTATGGAAAGGGAACAGGAATGAGGACCTGTTCTGCTCTACTCGCCAAGTACACGGGGCCACTTTATCTTCTGCTGTACAGCTCTGCAGCAACTAAGGGTCCACCCACACTTACCCTGTAATTTTTAGGCATTCGGTTTTTAGGTTTCTTCTTTTGCCCCCAGGAAACCGCGTTGTTTACTGATGAATCAGAACAAACACCAATGGGTTTTCTGCATATTAATGCTTCTTCCACTTCAGCAGTAAACAGTGGGTATTTTTTCCCCCAGGGAAAGTGGCAGGACAAAGGAAAAACCTCTTGGACAGTGCCTACAAAGTGTGGGCAAGCCTTTTGTCTGAAATATGATGGTCTCCGGTGGGGCACCCTGGGGGTCTAGGATAGTGTGGGTCTCCTGCTTCATGGAGAGAGGAAGATCCATAGGTGGAGAAAGGCCCATGTATGAAAGCATTCTCCTGATTGGACTACTGTAATGCGCTCTACATGAGGCTACCATTGAAGGTGACCCAGAAACTACAACTAATCCAGAATGCAGCAGCTAGACTGGTGGCTGGGAGCAGCTGCCGAGACTACATAACACTGGTCCTGAAAGACCTACATTAGTTCTCAGTACGTTTCTGAGCACAATGCAGTGTTGGTGCTGACCTTTAAAGCCCTAAATGGCCTCGGCCCAGTATACCTGAAGGAGCGTCTCCACCCCATCGTTCAGCCCGGACACTCAGGACCAGCTCTGAGGGCCTCATGGAGGTTCCCTCACTGAGAGATGTGAGGTTACACACATTTGCTGTTGTTGAAATTCTTCCACCCCACATCAATGACGGAAGGATATAATTCTCAGGTGCTCTGAAGAAACCCCCACTTATTTATAAAAATAAACAATACTCCCCAACCCATTAGCTAGATTTCTTTTATTCTGAAAAGACGACAAAGGTGCCGATTTTAAATCTGGAGATATACAAGAATATTTTATTACATGGTATGGATTAACTTTCTTACCAGCAGACACAAGGACCACAGCTGTAAACAAGCTCATTTCTTCATCACTAAGGTTCAGGGCATTTAGTTTCTCACTAAACTCAAACATGGAGTTGAGCAGATCACCAGCTCCCATTGAACGCAGATCGTCCACACTGTATTTCTTTCCACTAAGAAACGTGACAGTGCGATCCTTTGCATCAAATAAGGATGCAAACCGTACCATTAAAACCTACCCAAAAGAAAAAAGAGCAATTAAAAAAAGATTAGACCAATCTGCAGGAAATTAGGGATAAAAGAAGTCAGTGTGTAACACTATACATTGATAATGTTGCTTGTCTGACAGCTGATGAACAGGTACAATTGCTTTTTTAAACAGAAGGAATGTTGTTTCTGTACATGAAAACAGGTTTCCCCACAAAATGACCAGCACAGAAGCTTCCTGCATCACCAACATACCTCCACCTGTGTAATACTGTCTCTGGTCCACAGCCTACTTTTATATTACTCATTTGTTTATAAATCACCCTCCATGATTTTCTAAAGTAAATACGGACACTATACAGGCTAAAATATTCTCACAATAAATGTCTGGACGAGATGAGTTAGCTTATACAAACTGATTTCAAGCAAAAAATAAAATTAAATTAAATAATAAAGGTAAAGGTAAAGGTACCCCTGCCCATATGGGCCAGTCTTGACAGACTCTAGGGTTGTGCACTCATCTCACTCTATAGGCCGGGAGCCAGCGCTGTCCGCAGACACTTCCGGGTCACGTGGCCAGCATGACAAGCTGCATCTGGCAAGCCAGCCCAGCACACGGAACGCCGTTTACCTTCCCGCTAGAAAGCGGTCCCTATTTATCTACTTGCACCCGGGGGTGCTTTCGAACTGCTAGGTTGGCAGGCGCTGGGACCGAACGACAGGAGTGCACCCCGCCGCGGGGATTCGAACCGCCGACCTTTCGATTGGCAAGTCCTAGGCGCTGAGGCTTTAACCCACAGCGCCACCTGCGTCCCTTCAATAATAATAGTAAGTTATTTATTTCTATCCCACCCATCTGGCTGGGTTTCCCCAGCCACTCTGGGCAGCTCACAACAGAACATTAACAACAGAATAAAACTTCAAACATTAAAAACTTCCCTAAACAGGGCTGCCTTCAGATGTCTTCTAAAAGTCAGGTGGTTGTTTATTTCCTTGATATCTGACAGCAGGGCGTTCCACAGGGTGGGCGCCACTGCCGAGAAGGCCCTCTGCCTGGTTCCCTGTAACCTCACTTCTTGCAGGGAGAGAACTGTCAGAAGGCCCTCAGAGCTGGACCTCAGTGTCTGGGCTGAACAATCGGGATGGAGACGTTCCTTCAGGTATACTGGGCCAAGGCCATTTAGGGCTTTAAAGGTCAGCAACAACACTTTGAATTGTGCTGGGAAAAGTACTGGGAGCTAATGTATGTTTTTCAGGACTGGTGTTATGTGGTCTCTGAGGCCACTCCCAGTCACCAGTCTAGCTGCCACATTCTGGATTAGTTATAGTTTCCAAGTCACCTTCAAAGGTAGCCCCACGTAGAGTGCATTGCAGTAGTCCAAGCGGGAGATAACCAGAGCATGCACCACTCTGGCGAGACAGTCTGCGGGCAGGTAGGGTCTCAGCCTGTGTACCAGATGGAGCTGGTAAACAGCTGCCCTGGCCACAAAATTAACCTGCGCCTCCATGGACAGCTGTGAGTCCAAACTGACTCCCAGGCTGCATGCCTGGTCCTTCAGGGCCACAATTACCCCATTCAGGACCAGGGAGTCGTCCACACCCACCCGTCCCCTGTCCCCCAAAACAGTACTTCTGTCTTGTCAGGATTCAACCTCATCTGTTATGTGATTCAAAACAGTCCCACATCTAAGGCTATGTCACACTGACATTCTGTAAGGGTAAGAGGGTAAGAGAACTGAACTCATATTCCTGAGGGGAAGAACAAGCCAAGTAGAAGTAGTTTTGTGCAAAGATAACCTCTGCCAAACATTTCGGACGACTGCTGCAGACAACTACCAAAGTCATCAAAATAGCAGCGCTAACTTTTGATCTGTTTTAAACCGACAAGGCTGCAGGGGGGACGAAAAGGTCAAAACAAAATGAATCTATTATATATATAGCACGCCACAGCAAAACATCTGCAATACATTCAATTAAGATAACATCCACCTCAAAGGTTCCAGCCTTCAGAAGGTTTACTTGGTCGTGCTGCGAAAGGTCTCGGAAGCCTGGGACACGTTTGGCAAACTCCACCACTTCCTTCACAGCAGGAGTAAAGCTCATGGAAAATTCTTCCCAGACTTCATGACCAGACTTATTTGGGTCCACAAAAGGAGTCTTGTTCATTGGGCAAACCTAGATATTTATACACACAGTCTCAATATTCTTTTCCAAGCAAACTGGCCAAGCAATTTCATAGTTTCAAAAATCTTCATAAGTTATTACAATAATAGGAACATCAACAAAATATAGTTGGAGACTACATACTAAATGTGTGAGGCCTGGATTAAAATTAAATATGTGTTACGATCCACAGTACAGTTTAATGAAAAAATATTATTATGAAAGATTCACTTCCAAGACGCAGCAATTCTTAAAATCAGAGCTTAAATTGATCGGCTGCATCTTCCTGAAATCTGTGTGTGTATTTGATCTCTCTTCTGCTTTCCAATGCACATTAAAAACATGGCATACAAAGCATGAGAGAAAGAGAGAAGCTTAAAAGTTGCATTTAATTCTCAAGTAAAAATACTGTGAGCCTGATTTCGGTGAAATACGGCAGCTGGTTAAGTTTCACTGACACTAATTTTCCTAGCAATTCGCAATTCATTAGATGACAGTTAAGTCTTATTACCCAAATGACTGAATTCTATAAAGGCTGCTTTACACATGCTAAACAGGTTTTAGATTTACAACAATATGCCTAGCCAAGGCTTGTGTTTGAGCACTTCTCCCTCTTCTGGAGCCATTGCGGGGAGTAGTTCACTTCTGCTTCCATTTTTGATTAACCAGAGTTTGCCAAGTTGAGACAAACTGTGGTTAATTTTAACTCTGGTTAGCTGAAGCGAGACAACCTCATGCCATAGTTTATGCAGATGGCTACATTTCGAGTTTGGATAACACAGCAAACTGGGATTGGTTAAAAAACGGGAAGCAGAAGACTCCCAAGATTAGAAACAAACCATATTTGGGGTTGGGGTTTCACAAAATATACCTCAGTTAAACACAATAATGGCAAACATTTCCCACTATGAGTCTTTTTCCCAACCATACTTTCTTTTTTTCAATTGGAAAGAGGTTCTTTTAGCGATGGGCCAATTGATTTTGGCAACCCCCGCCCAAAAAAACACACACCTCAGTAATCTCCCTCTCCTATTTGTTGTTGTTGTCGTCATTACCCTGAGGATATTATTTCACTAAACAAGGTAGTCCCAGGGAGAAGCCACTCCCAGCCCATGTGACTAGTCTGAACCTACGCCAAGTAACAATCCCTCAGAGAACTGTGCAAGAGAAATTAAGAATTAGTTGTACCAGATGCATCCTTTCTCCGGGGTTGCAGGGGTAGGAATTCATAGACACACGCTGAGGAAAGCCACTTTCAGGCCTACCATTGCAACTTTTTGAGGCGGCGCCATTAGCAATGTTCACCGAATGGCTGTTTGTAAAGCAAAGGTTACTACGCCCATTTGGATAATGCATGTTGTTTCGCCCTTTGTGTTGTCCAATGAAATGTTGTTCATTCCCACCATGATGGGCGCAGCTTATGCCACTATTATTGGTTTCGCTACCACCACCGTATTTTAGGTTTCTCTCCATATTCTGGGGCTGCCCAGGAGTTGGGGGGTTTTCGGGTTGCTCCTGGTTGTACATAAAGGTATCTTTGTGGGCTCTGGTCACCATGCCAATCACTTCTTCCTTAGCAATGTCAGAGGGGGGAGGAGGAGGAGGGGGGAGGAGGAGAGCAGGAGAAGGAGAAGAAGAAGAACGGCTGCCAGCGTTTTTCTGCTCTTCTTGCCGTTGGGCGCTCAGCTCTTCTTGAGGCAGCAGAAGCAAAGGTTCTTGGCTCTCTTTTGAGGCTTCGCTGGACAAATGATCGCTGAACTGGGTGTTCATCATGGTTTTCATGGCGCTTTGCATCTCGATCAGCATCCTCTGCTTCTCACGTTTAGGAATCCGACCAAATCGAACAGCTTCGGAAAAGGAACAAAACCAAAACAAGACTCTTTAGCTACGCGCGGGCTGACAAATTCTAGTGGAAATGCTGTACAAGCAAACAAAACTCTCTCCTGCTTCAAAAACTCATCAAAACACAGAGAATCACATGCCACTCAGTGCTTTTTTTACTGGAGTACGCAGTCTTTTTTGTTGTTAAAAAGTGTGGCCCTTACTGTAACAACTTCATAGTAAGTACCAGCACTTATTTTTGTAGGGGGGGAAAGCACTGATGCCACTGATTAAACCAGTGAGTGTATTTTTGACGGTAGTTCTCCAAATAAGGACTAGGGGACGATGATACTTGTTCTCTGAGCCCAAGGCAGCTTCAGATGTGTGCGGTTTCTCAAACAGGAGATTCGATTGCAAGGCCAAACAGAAAACTGCTTTTGAAAAGGGAGGGAACTTTTACATGATTACATGAAAAGGGAGGGAACTTTTACATGATTTGCTGGTTGAATTGACCCATATGGAACCCACCTTGCAGCCACATGATGAAAGGCAGGTTATAAATGCATATACAGTGGTACCTCAGGTTACATACGCTTCAGGTTACAGACTCCGCTAACCCAGAAATAGTGCTTCAGGTTAAGAACTTTGCTTCAGGATGAGAACAGAAATTGTGCTCTGGTGGCGCGGCAACAGCGGGAGGCCACATTAGCTAAAGTGGTCTTCAGGTTAAGAACAGTTTCAGGTCAAGAACGGACCTCCGGAATGAATTAAGTACTTAAACCGAGGTACCACTGTATATAAATGTCATAAAAGGATCATCTGTCTGAGCGGGGGCATTCCCTGGGCTTGAAGAAGCCTAAGGAACTTTACCAGAGAAAGCAGCCCATATTGGCTGCCCTGGTTAGCAATGTGTTTTCGCAACTTGCAGTGGTAAGAGATTGCTTTGACTTCCTTTCCCACAAACACAAGCAATAACACGATGCAGTAAGCAGTTTTCATGCCGCAAGTGGAAGAAGTAACAGCCGTCACTTCTGTAGCTAAGAACAAGCTACGTCGTCGTTTTAAAAAGGCATGGCCGCTTACAGTTTAGCAGCTCATGTAAAGTATAAAAACATGTTGGCTTGAGGGAGAAGAAAACCAGCTCCTTATGCCGGTCTGCCAATATGGGGAAAATATGGTGTCCAGCAAAATCAGATTCTGGTTGGACAACCACTATTACTGCCTCCCAGCTGTAGGACTGGTTTGCATGTGTTTCCTCCCAAGGCCCCTTAAACTCTCAATCCCCTTAGAAATTAATGCATATTGTTTCACCATTTCCTGTACTTTTCTGTGTACAAGACTAGGTTATTTTCTTTAAAAATCATGATAAAAAGTGGGGGTCGTCTTATACAAGGTTAGTGCATAGGGTGGACGTTTGATTGGTTGCTGCCGAGGCTGTCAGGGGCTATTGTGCGTGTTATTGGTTGCTGCGTCAACAGGTGGTGTTGATTGGCTGACGCTCCGGTAGTTGGATGGGCGACTGGCAGCTTCTGCCGGCGATGGGACAGACGGGAGGCGGACTTAGCGATGCGTGAGCAATCTTCGGCAATCCCCCCTACGAAAAGCTCAACGACTCTGTGCCATCTCCCCCCATTTTCTTAAATTTGAGTCCCCCAAAATTGGGGATGTCTTATACATGGGGGCGGGGCGCGTCTTATAGACGGAAAAGTACGGTATATTGTCCATTCTCAGTGCAATGGATACAGTTTATATCACGGACAGAAAGCTCATTACCAGGCTTCACATGCACTACCTCTGTAATCCTTACCACAGTCCTGTATGCTCTGTCAGTATTTTCCCAATTTTGCCCCCCCCCCACCAAAGGAAGGAGTGTAATAAAAAAAATAGCAGGTTGTCATTAAGGCTTCTCATAAGTTCATGGTTGAGGTGACATTTGAATCAGTTTGCATGTCACACCATTACTCAACACCAGGGTTTCCCAAACGTGGGTCTGCGGCTATTTTTTGGACTACAACTCCCATCATCCCTAGCTAGCAGGACCAGTGGTCAGGGATGATGGGAACTGTAGTCCAAAAACAGCTGGTGACCCAAGCTTTTGGAAAAACCTGCTCTAGACCAACTTTTTATAATTAGGTATGAAAAGCACTACAATTCACCTTTTTGAAGCTAACTGCTCTCAATATAGAAACATACCATCTCTTGACATCCCAACCGACAAACATTTTTTGAACCGGCACTGCTGGCACCTGTTCCTATTCATTCTCATTATAGAGCAGTTATTATTCTTCAGGCACTTCTTGTATTTGATATTCTGCTGGATGCTTCTTCTGAAAAAGCCCTGAAAAGAACAAGCAACTGTTAAGTTTCAAACCACCTTTTTTTTTGCAAGCAATTTTCAAGCTTGCCCCATCAACAGAAACTTGCATTGTAAACCTGGAATCTGGCTGTTGACAATAACATGCCAACTGATGTCCCCAAGCAGCAGCTTTTCAACCAAGCACATTTCAGTAGTGCTTTTTTTTCTGGAGGTACACATAAAGGTAAAGGTAAAGGGACCCCTCACCACTAGGTCCAGTCATGGCCAACTCTGGGGTTGCGACGCTCATCTCGCTTTACTGGCCGAGGGAGCCGCCATACAGCTTCCAGGTCATGTGGCATGCATGACTAAGCCACTTCTGTCAAACCAGAGCAGAGCACGGAAACGCCGTTTACCTTCCCGCCAGAGCGGTACCTATTTATCTACTTGCACTTTGATGTGCCTTTGAACTGCTAGGTTGGCAGGAGCAGGGACCGAGCAACGGCAGCTCAACCCGTCGTGGGGATTCGAACCGCCGACCTTCTGATCGGCAAGTCCTAGGCTCTGTGGTTTAACCCACGGCGCCACCCGCGTCACTCGAGGTACGCATACCCCTCAACATTTTGTGATCCAAGTTTGGCCTCATTGAGGGGCAGTATTTCAATATGAGTAGGAAAATGAGTGTACCCTTAAACATATTTTTTAAATAGAAAAAGCACTGCATTTCAATATTCCAAGTCCTGGACATTGAGACCCCCCAAAGGATGGAAGGTCACAATAACAAGACTTGCTTAGGAGATTCTGGATAGTTTTAAAGCTTGTAGGGTTAGGGTTTTAGACCTGCAACAAACATTTGCTCCCCCCCCCCCAACCACCAGGGACATCTGCACTTGTCCCTGAAATTCTATTCACCAACTGCTCCAATAAGATATTCACATTATAAAATTATACTTCACCTTGCACCCCTCACAGGCATGGACCCCATAGTGGAATCCTGAAGCAACATCTCCACAGACTTTACACAGCAGGACCATGCCATTAAATTCTATAAATAGAAAAATAAGCATTACAACCTAATAGAAACAACACATATTTGACTTGCGTTACATTCTTTTTGTTAAGAGGCAAATTCCAGTATACCTGAAGGAGCGTCTCCACCCCCATCGTTCAGCCCAGACACTGAGGTCCAACTCTGAGGGCCTTCTGGTGGTTCCCTCACTGTGAGAAGTGAGGTTATAGGGAACCAGGCAGAGGGCCTTCTCAGTAGTGGTGCCCGCCCTGTGGAACGCCCTCCCATCAGATGTCAAGGAAATAAACAACTATCTGACTTTTAGAAGACATCTGAAGGCAGCCCTGTTTAGAGAAGTTTTTAATGTTTGATATTTTATCCTCTTTTTAATATTCTGTTGGGAGCCGCCAAGAGTGGCTGGGGAAACCCAGCCAGATGGGTGGGGTATAAACAATAAATTATTATTATTATCATTATTGACAAAATGGGCGTAAAATGAATTCCACACGCCTTCCTACTTAGTTGATTCCCTCAACTAAGAAGCAAAATTGTATCTAGGCCTTAGAGCGAGGAGTCCCAAACTTGGGTCTCCAGCTGTTGTTGGACTACAACTCCCATCTGCTTAGCAAGCGGGACAAGTACTCAGGGATCATGGGAATTATAGCCCAACAACAGCTGGAGACAGTTTAGGAAAGCCTACTTTAGTAGTTGGCCCAGGGCAGGAGTAGCTAACCTGTGGTTTTCGTGATCTTGCTTCACACTATCCTTGCCTCACACTAACTACTATTCAGATCATTAAGCTGGGGTCAATGGGAGTTGGGAGTCTAATGGCCATAGGCTGGCTATGGTCACTCAAGAACTGAGCTATCGGCCCCAGTCATCATGGCCAATGGTTAGGGTTGATGGGAATCTTACAACATCGAGAGGGCCACAGGATTCTATCCCTTGCCTTAGAACAACTCTAGGAAGCCTGAATAGAATAACCATGCATGTGACCATCACAGAGATGCTTCCCCACTTGGGATACTGTAAAAGAGAAAAAATACTGTCTCTAAATTTCCCTCTGTGTTTTGCTGTCTTCAGCCTGCGTGTTTTATCATAGTACCGTCACAAAATCATAGCACCAAGACAAAATTTCAGAGAACAGCAAACAGATACATACATCTGCTTTGTGACACCAAAATGTGAGCACTGCAATATGTTGGTGCCATCATAGTAAACACACTTTCACAAATGTGTAGGATTCAAATGTTGACCATGATTTGTCATATCAAGTTTTTTTCTTTATTACCCTGAAGTTATTTGAAACCTGTATCCTAGGGGAATCTTTTTACTACCAAATGTGTATGTGTGCATATATCCATAGACAATATTTATGCACATATACATATAGATGTAGATACAGTGGTACCTTGGTTGTTGAACTTAATCCATTCGACTCCCGGAACCGTTCAAAAACCAAGGCGTGGCTTCCGATTGTCTCCAGGAGCTTCCACCACTCAATCGGAAGCCGTGTCAGACGTTTGGCTTCTGAAAAACGTTCGCAAACCGGAACAGTCACTTCTGGGTTTGCGGCGTTCGGGAGCAGATTTGTTTGGGAACCAACTCATTCGACAACCAATATACTACTGTATACACACAAATATACCACCAAATTGCAAACAAAGAAACACCCTTGTTATCCGTGAATCATGTTGGAAACAGTTTCCAAGTAGAGTCAAATACAGAATCAACAGTTAGGAAGATTAGCAACCATTTCAGCACCAAGCAAACTCGAGGAAAATTATTTGTAGTTTAGCTCTACAGATAACAACCAAGTTGCTGCTGGCCTCTGGGGGAAAAAACCACACAAGAAATCTTGCAAAAAAAAACCCCAAACCATGTTCTATTACAGTAAGCCGGGATTTTACACTGGGATTACGTTCTGGGATAGCAGCCCAAGCCAAAATTGCATACAGGCAACTCTCAATTTGTGCAGTGGCAAAGCACACACTTTTCCCTCAGAGATGCCTCTGTTTCAAAAGCATTGGTTACTAGGGGATGGGAAAGACCTTAGCCTGAGACTAGGGGCAGGAGCGCTACCAGTTAGATTAGGCAGCATTGGGTGAGGTGGATCCAGTATGGAATATGGTATCTTATATTCCTTCTACATTTAAAATAATATACTTGGGTGCTGTTACAGATTGAATCTAGCACTATGGAAGATGAGTTTTATTTTGGTGTTCCCACTACTAACCGTGTACAGCGCGCTGCCAAACTTTTACCTACTTTCTGTTTGGTAATTTGCTTCGAATTTACTGTAAGTAGACAATGAGCTGTATGAAAGCAACCTTTTACACAACTGGAAGCCTCAATGGTCTCAAAATGGGGAAGGTTGCTTAACTGGGATGGTTGGAGGGGGACAAGTCTGGGGGTCCTTTCATAGTCAGATCTCGACTTTTAAACTTACTTGTGGACCACAGGACAACATGGCCTGTTGGCACCACTTTGCACTGTGAGGCAGGAGCTCCAGTTTGCCAGAGGTTGAGAACCAGAGCTACAGTCTATCTAGAAGGAAGGAAGTCAGAGGTTAAGCACTGAATGTTAAGTGCTACAGGCTCTAGGCAGAAGGATGCCCTCAGGCTGCAGACAAATGTATTTATTTAGTGTGGACAACATATCAACAATCAATTCAGATGTTATGTTTGCCAATCATGGTTTGGAGATTGGGAATTCCCAATGTGTTTAAAGGCTTCTTCCTCCAGCTCCTCCCTTTTAGGTTTTGCTATAACCATAGCATGCCATTATGCCCGAATCGGGACTAAATATGGATAGTGCTAACTAGGAGAATCTCCAAACCATGGTTTGAAGTATCCTGATTTGTAGTCAAACCCAGACCAGGCCCAGTAGCAAAGCACATGGGAGAAGATGGAGCCCTAAGCACATTCCCTCCCATTCTCCCAACCATAGACTGGCAACATGATGCCTGAATTGAGCCTAAACAAAAGCAGAGCTACTACAAATGAATACTTACTTGTCAGTCCACCATGAGCCTTGGCCAATGCAGTTATACTTGGCTGGCTGGCCTTAACGCGGTCATCTAACTGGTCATTCTTTGGTACTCCATCAGAGCCCTCTTTGCTCTTGCTGCTCGAGCTGCCGTCTGAAGAGGAGCTGTTTGGTGACTGCGGTACAGGTGACGAGGACAGGAAGCTGCTCTCCGATCCCTCGCTGTGGCACGAGGCAGGGCTAGAGGCTGAACTTGAAGAGCTGATGTAAGCAATCACACCACCTGTCGAAGGAAGCAGGAATACGTCTACCAGATCACAGATCTACTTTACAAGCCACTTCCAGAAGTCTCTCCCACACCACATGTAAACAACCCCCTGTTCCAAATGCCTTTCCAGTTTTCGGAATCGGATCACGATACATACTGTAGTGTCTTGCTTTTAGCAACGTGTTCCAAAACAAGACACAGTTTATGAAATTACAGATAGGTAGCCGTGTTGGTCTGCCATAGTCAAAACAAAAAAAATTCCTTCCAGTAGCACCTTAAAGACCAACTAAGTTAGTTCTTGGTATGAGCTTTCGTGTGCATGCACGAAGGAGGAGCTTTCGTGTGTATCTGAAGGGAGGAGCTTTCGTGTGTATCTGAAGAAGTATGCATGCACACGAAAGCTCATACCAAGAACTAACTTAGTTGGTCTTTAAGGTGCTACTGGAAGGAATTTTTTATGAAATTAGTTAAGAATGGAAAGTAGAAAATGCAAGCATTTGATAGCTTCTGTTTCTGAAATATTGGAAGAAAGGGAATCAGTGGGATGGACTTGTTAAGTATTCTATACGATTTATGCTGTAGGTGTGATGTTCCATTCTTATTTTTATCTTTTGTTTGTAAGCCGCTTTGGGATTTATTTGAATAAAAAGCAGCATAGAAATAGAAAAAAGGAAGGAAAGGAAAGGAAAAGACAAGACTTGAGACTGCAGGTAGATTTTCCTTTTCTTTCATGTCTATGAGACAGCAAGCTTAAAACACATGCACAAGTGTGTTGACAGAAAAGCATTATAAAAGTGTAACAGATAAATAATAGATAAGTCTTCGCACCAACAAAAACTATAATCCTTATTTATTTCACATGTATCACGTTCTTCCACTCAAAGGAGCTCAGGGGAGCTTGCATATGGTTCTTTAACAGGCTCCATGGCGGGTTTAGCTTCAGCGCCATTGTGTACCGACAGGCCTCCCTCTGGGCATCAAAGTGGCACGGTCTCAAAAACAACAAAAAGGAAGAAAGAAGTATTTTCATCCATGAAGGATGAACAGAAAGAAAAACATGGAGCAATTTGCTTGGCGCACCTCTATAATTCACCAGGGACTGCCGCTTTTCGAAAGACAAATGGGTATCTCTACAAATAATAATTCAACAATGAAAGCTTCTCCCAAAGAACCCTGGGAACTGTAGAGAGCCTTTTGTTGAACAATCATAGTTCCCCTTCATAGAAAAAACAATTCCCTGGGTTCTTTGGAATGAATGAAAGACAATCAGGGACAGATACTCCCCCAGGGGTAAATTTTTCACAAGCACATAAATAAACTCAGGCTGCGATGGTCTCAGAACTTACTCTGAAGAAGTCCTATGGTCAACAATGGGACGACTCCAAAGCAAGTGGTTTGATCATTGTGGCCATTGGCGCCTGCATCCCCTCCACAGGCTTTCTGCAAGGATGCAGGTTCCCAAGTAACTTAAGTGCTTTTGAAATTTTTACCCAATATTCTACCTTGCAAAATAAGAGTGAATGTTCTAGCCTTGAGAGATGCATCTTCAGTCATACACGGAAGGGAGTCAGTTTGTGTGTTGAAAAAGATCCCAGGGTCATATGACAGCTGAATAACCCCTCAGAGAACACAATTCCTAGAACAAATTTATTTTTAATAAAAATGTCCTTTTTGAAACCAGCTTGCTTCTCACCCTCATTTTTCCAAGTGAACTTTCATATCTTGCAGCTTTCAAATTTTTATTGTTAGAATTCTGTCTTAGTTTCTCTCCCTTCATTTATTATTATGTGGAAAAGCCAATTTCCAGTGATTGCAAAGGGGGGAAAAGAAAATTCTGCATTAGCAGAATTTCAAAACCTACAAATGAACTTTCCTCTCTCTTGGAATATACAAGTCCCAAGTCGAAGAGCCTTATTTTAATTACATTTTCTGTGAAGACACGAGACCGGCATTCTACTTTAAGATTATTGTGGGTGCTTCCAAATGGGTACTTATCATGGGATTTGAACTCCCCACACATGCATGGTTACAATCTGGAGGGCATCAAAGTCTGTTCCCCTTCCCCGTTTAATGCAGACTTGCTCTTCCAGGGGGAAATAAAATAAAAACAAGAAACCCAAAACCCTGTTGCCAACAAACCATTTGCTGCATTAAAAGACCGCTAAAGGTAAAGGGACCCCTGACCATTAGGTCCAGTCGTGACCGACTCTGGGGTTGCGGCGCTCATCTCGCTTTATTGGCCGAGGGAGCCGGCGTACAGCAGTGCACGGCGAACTAGAGCAGTGCACGGAAACGCCGTTTACCTTCCCGCCGGAGCGGTACCTATTTATCTACTTGCACTTTGACGTGCTTTCGAACCGCTAGGCTGGCAGAAGCAGGGACCGAGCAACAGGAGCTCACCCCGTCGTGGGGATTCGAACCGCCAACCTTCTGATCGGCAAGTCCTAGGCTCTGTGGTTTAACCCACAGCGCCACCCCTGTCCCGCATTAAATGAACTTGCTTGCAAATTCAGCCCTATTTGGAAGTACCCCACAACCCAACATTAGCTGTTTCCTAAAGCAAAGACTGGTGCAATTGTGTATGTGTGTGGGACTGACGCACACCTAGGTCTACAGCTACTATCATATCATACAGGCTTCTTCCCAACAACTGATGTGCAGGAGCTGATCTTTCAGACTGAGCCCATTTTCTCCAGGTTCCTGCAAGTGACAGAAAGAAAAATCACCCCCATTCTTAGGGCACGCCACCACCGCCCGTGGAATAGCTTGCAACATGGTGACAGCCACCATGTGGCATTTGTTATGTGTGAATCAGGCCCAAGGCAGCAATCCAGAAAATGCTTACTTGAAACTGAAGAGATCAGGCATTATATTGAAGGCTGTTGCTTTTCTGTTAATGTCTCTGTAACTGCTTTCATGACCTATTACTAGGAAGTATTTTGGGGAGAAGGGAACAGGTAAAATGTATTTTCAGGGAGCATGTTCCCTCTTACATTCATGCTCCTAAGTAAATGTGCATAGGTTTGCAGTCTAAATGTCCTTCAAACATTGTGATTCTCAAAAATCCTTAAGAAAATATATTCATAGTGAGATTACCCTCCACAAAGAATAATTTATAAAATCATGGCACAGTCCTAACCTCTTCACATATGCCAGGTTAACGTTTGTCATGGGAAAGCTCTAATTCATAAGTAACCATGATAGTACCAATGGAAGAAGCAGATTCAGGCCACAATGAAAATTACGTAAGGCTTAGGGCTCCATAATTATTTATATTTAAGAGAATTATTAGCATTCCAGTGACACATTTGGTAATGAAGCTTTGTATCAAAGGAGAAGCCCCATTTCAAATAAAACATGAAACACTTTCAACGGCGTTCAAATTTGGACATATATAAACCCACATCCTGCCAACCTAGCAGTTCGAAAGCACCTTCGGGTGCAAGTAGATAAATAGGGACCGCTTACCAGCGGGAAGGTAAACGGCGTTCCGTGTGCTGCGCTGGCTCGCCAGATGCAGCTTGTCACGCTGGCCACGTGACCCGGAAGTGTCTGCGGACAGCGCTGGCCCCCGGCCTATTGAGTGAGATGGGCGCACAACCCTAGAGTCTGTCAAGACTGGCCCGTACGGGCAGGGGTACCTTTACCTTTACCTTTAAACCCACATCCTAGCAGTGTCATGTGAAAAATGCTACTATTATGTGTGAAAAGACATTGACACATGTGCACAGAATAATGCAAATTATTATAATTATAGTTCACTGGGCATGTGCTTTGCCAGGAAGTCATTATGTAACCTACTAGCATAGTCTCAATATCAGTTTAGTAAGGAAGTTTAACATACGCATAAGCAGTCATGTGTAAATGACTCAGGCAGGGAAAATGCTTAACAACCTACACACAGGCTAAATAATAGGAAGCATGGACTTATAGGGCAATGACCCCCCCCTGGAAACATTTACATTCCCAAGAATCTCTATTAGAAGTGGTGCTGTTTCATATTCACAAAGGATCTGGTTCACAACAAATCGCTCAGGATGATGAAAACAAGAGGCGGGGGGGAGGGAGGCCATGAAGAGCTTTAAAAGGATTTTGTCCAAACTAAATGAATGGGCAACAAAACAGCAACTGAAGTTCACGGTTCATTTTAAACGTAGAATGGTGCACAGGGAAGGGTGCAGAGAAAATAAATTCACACATGCACAAGAGGGGACCTTAACTGGGTGTGACTAGGATCCTAGTAGGGTCACGGTAGGTAGATTTGTGAAAACATCAACTCGATTTGCAGTAGCAGCAAGAAAGGCAAACTCCGTTTTTAAGAATTATTAGGAATGGGAGTGAAAATAAAATGGCCATTATCATTGTACCTTTTCATAATGCTTTCTCCTTTGCTCTGTACTTTTACAAGGTGATTCCCCTCCTCCTTCTGTTTCCCTGTGTCTATTTTAAGGAACCTGTCAAGACTGCTTTTTGTAAAGCACTATGTATATTCACACAGTGCTGTGTACATCCATAGTGCTGGATTCAGAACGCTTTCTTTTTAGCGGAGGGAAAAAAGTTGGCCAGGACAGAACACGAACATTACATTGCTATGACAAACATGTGACTGGTGTAGAGAAAGCAAATAAGGACATTTCTCTCTCTTTCTCGCAACACTGCAATTTGGAACCACTTGATTACATTAACTGACAGTGCATATAAGGCAGAAAGTACATGGAATGCATAAATAACACAGGGGATCTGCTGTCACAAGATGTGGTTGGTGTTTACTAGCTAATTCGACCGTAAAAAGATTAGACCAGAAATGAGGAATGTATGGCCCTCCAGAAATTTCTGGACTACAACTCCCATCATCCTTGACCATTGGCAATGCAAGCTAGGGCTGGTGGGTGCTGGAAGTCCAATGTTACGTGGAAGGCTATAGGCTGCCCACCACCCTTGTGTTAGGACAGTTTCATGGAGGATACCAGCTGTGATAATCTAAACCAGGGTTTCCCAAACTGTTTTTGGACTACAGCTCCCATCATCCTTGGCCATCATCCTAGCTAAGGATGATGGGAGTTGTAGTCCGACAACAGCTGGAGACCCAACTTTGGGAAACCTGGGTCTATAGTCAAGAGTGCTTCCGAATACCGGCTAATGGAGAGGGGGAAACCCATAAACTACCATTGGCCACTACTGGAAACAGGAAGTGGAACTAGATAAGCCCCTCCATCTGATCCCGAAATTCCACCAGAGTGCAGGAGCCTCTGGCTACAGAGTCAGCTAGAAGGAACAGCACTTTGGGGGTAGGAATAAAAGGAGCAGTTTTCTGACTGAGTGAGTTAGTTAGGGCTGGATTTAAGATGAGAGTTGGGCTGGATTTAAGATGAGGAATAGGATTAGATTTGAGATGTTAGACAGGTTTCAGGTTGGGAGAGCGGGCGTGAGATACGGAGAACTGGTTCTGAGTTAAGTTAAACATACACAATGAGTTGATTATCCATAGCGAGAGGACAGAGCCAAGTAGCTTGGATAGGGAGACTGGGTTGAGGGTCTGGGTTGAGGGAAAGGGATACAGACAGGAGTGTTCTGGGAGGGATGAGTTTGAGCCGGGAGAGGTAGATCCTGTGGGAATTCAGGCTACCTGGGTGTCAGTGTAGCCAGAAGGGGAGAGTTCATCTAGGTACTAGACAACTCCCAAACCAGTAGCAAAGGATGGGGTGATTCCCTAGGTCTGTTATACCATTTAGAAGACCTCAGGTATGGGATAGTTAAGAGCAGGCATCCCCAAACTCAGCCCTCCATATGTTGGGACTACAATTCCCATCATCCCTGACCACTGGTCCTGTTAGCTAGGGATGATGGAAGTTGTAGTCCCAAAACATCTGGAGGGGCAAGTTTGGGGATGCCTGATTAAGAGAGTGGGTAACCGAGGAAAAGTGCCCTCGCTCATGAACCAAAGTATTTAGCTGTGAGGGAAGCGGTACGGTGTTGAAAGTACTTAACATATCTAAGTGATAGAAACTGAGTTAAGCATTTTGGAATCTATTCTGGAAACCTGAATATTTAACCACCTGAAGTGTACCAACTGATTTATAGTGACTGAAGTTTAAGAAGAGTTGTGTCTATAATATTCTGTTTAAACCTGACACATCTTAATAGTTAAAATAAATTAATTAACTTCTATCTGAAAGAATGCATTTCCTTACGCACTTGGTTCCATTAACTTCCTTTTGTTTAATAAAACATCTCTTGTTTGTTTGATCAGCTCCTGCCTGAGACTCTAAATCATTTAAGTTTTCCCCACTAGATAATCTGTGGTAAATTGTAGAAATTTGTGTAATTGGTGTGCCTTGAGGCGGTCGCACTATATTTAATTGGGGGAAGTTAGCAGGAGAGGATCCGCCCCATAATTATTTGGTGGTACAGTATTAAGTGGCTTCAACCTTGTTAATTGTTTGTTGCTATCTAGGAGACCTACCAAACACATTTGGAAGAGAACCTGATTGCTATTATTGGGCTTAAAAGCCTTTTCAAGTCATCCAACATCTCCCCCTGGCTCAATCAATCAGTTTATTTGTATGCACCTTACAACATATTTAAAAAAATTACACAACTACAAACCTAACAAAAGTAGTCATAAATACTGAACATCACAAAGTTCATTGCTTTAGGAAGCTGGTGAATGTTGTTATATAATCAGTGTTCCACGAATTTTGCCAGCTCAGTCTATTTTATGACAGGGATTTGGGGAGGGCGAATTTCGTAATTCCCATTCCTTCCTGTCTCCTTCGGCTTCAGGACTGGTGGAGGAAGCAGCACTTCCCCTCTGGTCCTTGAATAAGACTTTTATAAAACATAACACCGTTCTTATCCTCCTAGCCTCAGGCAAACTGCCCAACGTCCGTAGTTATTATGTAAGTCCCTCCGGAATCTGTTCGTGTTGCACCACCTGACTTGCCTATTCCGTGAGCTCAGCCATCAGGGAAGATGACTCTCCTCCGACCTGTTACATTTCGAGAGCTGTGCACATGGGTCGTCTGTACATGTGAGAGAGCGAGGCGGTCGGTGTCACATGGATGCGCGCACACAGAAGCAGCTGCGCCAATGTATGCACCTTTGCAATTAAGGCAGCTGCGGAGCAGCCGGCAGAGGAAGAGGAACTCAAGCATCCCTAAGGTTCAGATACCCGATGAATGCGCACTAACTAAAGAGTAAACCTCTCCGAGCACAGGCTTTACTTCCGAGTAAAAATACGCAAGGGGGGCAGCCCTAAATCTAGTAAAAATAAATCTTAACTGAGGTTCTGTCCCTCCTTACGTAAAGCCTGCCCCCCTAACATGCGCCCATGGTACCCCCTATTTTGGGGCGAGGAGACACGTGCGCGCGCCTCTTCCTTGATCCGATTCTCCATGCAAACGTCGCCGCATTGACCTTGCCATTGACCCGTCTACTCGGAAATTTATTGGATTCAGTGATGCTTACTCGCAGGTAAGTGCGGTTGTTTCGGATCGCAGCCTCAGGCTAGGCGTTCCTCCTATTAATCCATTTAAAAGGTATGTGTGGGGGGGGGGGAATAACATCTGGGGTAGCAGCCACGTGCAGGAACAGGCTCGCTTCTGGGTAGCCACGAAGGAGGATCGGGGCGATCCTACCAGATCTGTCTGAACGCAAAGAGGGGCTTGAAGGCACGAGGATCGCGACGCTCCCCGGCTGGCGACAGAGCAGCTTTTGCAAAAGAGCAGCGTGGAAGCTCCGCCCCGCAACCTCGAATGCACTCGGATCTCCCGAAGCGGAGCGAGGTCGCCTTGGGGCCGCGCCTGCCTCGCAAGGCGGCGGCTCCTCCTATCCGGCAAGGCTGGAGAGGGAAGAGTCCCCGCCTGGCAGCAGAAGGAAGGGAAGGGAGATTCCCAAGTCTGCTGGGCGCAGTTTTGCAAGGCGCCTCCCTCCTCCTCCATCCGCTCTGCCGGCTCCTGCCTGCCTTCCCCACGTGTCCTTTCCCCGCGCCGCCCCCTGGATGTAGGTCACCAAAACAAGGGCCTCCCGCCGCCGCCTTCACGTGTCTCTCCACGCGGTCGCCAGCGGGAGGCGGCCGCCCCGTCCCGATTGTGTAATCCCCGACGTCACAGCCAATCAGCGCGCAGGCGGCGCCGAACGTAAACAAAGCGGCGCACGTGGCTCGCCCGACGGTCCATGTGAGCGGCTGCTTTTGAGAACCGGCCGGATGGGAAATGGATGGGCGGCCGGGGAAAGAGGGAGAAAAGGCGCCGCAGGAACCCTAGACGCCGCCGCCTCGCGGAGTCTCCCCGCACCCGGTCCAGGGAGAGGGGAGTCCAGTCAGCCCCGAAGGAGGGAATAAGCCCCTCGGCCCCGGTTTCCCGCACCGGCCGATTCCTGCCTCCCGGCATGCAAAACCATCCTGACCTCGGAAGCCCTTCCTAGGGCGCGCACGCCAATCCACACGAAACCCACTGCATTGCACGGGGTTGGACTAGATGACCCTCGGGGTTCCCTTCCCACACTACGGCGCGGTAATTCCAGGGCAGCTTCGCTTATGCCACCACCGCAATGCCCAGAGTTGCACATTCCGCGCAAAAAAAACCCGGTCTTTTTTGTGGGGGGCAGAGCAGCAAGAGGCTGAAATGAGGGGGGTCGTGACCCTCCGGGCTCAGTGGAGGGAAGGAAGGAAAGGGCTTTCAAGCCTGATCCGCCTTTCTCTCCTCCCTGCTCTGCAATCATCACGTCGGATCTCGCGTCTGACCTCCCTGACAACCCCAAAGCCTCACTTACCTGCATTGACCTCCATGGCGTCCCCCGATTTCTTCCCCGCAGCTGCCTCCGAGAGCCGGGATCATTCACCGACGGCTTTCCCGGGCTGCTGGGGCGCCTGCCTGCCTCGCTCTCCGCTTGTGCCGAAAGAGCCGCTGCGGCAGCTGTGCCCAAGCGAGCCGCGCCCGCCTCCCGCCTTCCCCCGGCTGCTGCGTGGACGCGCCTCGTGTGTGCGAGGCGGGAGGAGGCCAGGCAGCCGCCGCGCCGCCGTCGAGCCTTCCTGGGGAGATGGCTTGCTGGGCTGCGGCTGCCGCCTCCTTCCTCCTCCCCCTTCCCCGCACGAGGACGGGGAGAGTCACCGGGAGGGCGGCGCCCACCACGTGCCTCGCCCCGTCGCCGCCCTCGCCTTGCCCACTCGCGCGCCGTCGGAACAGCCGCTGCACCGAGCGGCGTCCCAGCTCGCCCCGCCTCCCCTTCCAGACCGGCTCTTTCAACCCAGTGACACACTTTCCCCGTCCCTCGGGGAGGCGGGGAGAGCGAGCGACCCGCCCCTTGTCACGTGTCAGTCATGTGTGATGAAACGGACACGCGTCTCCAGCTGCACGGTAGCAATTACGCACAAGATCAGGGCATCGAAGTTCGTTCCTCTGAAATGCAATCGGTCGTGACTAATACTAGCTGGACTGGAGGCAGGGTGCTTGAGGGAGAATCTCCATAAAAGCTTAGGAAAGGGGCCGGCAATCCTGATGACCTTGGAGTTCACAGGAATTCGTGGAATCAGAGAATTGGAAGGGACCCAAGGGTCATCTAGACCAACCCTCTGCAATGCAGGGAACTCAGCTAAAGCATCTATGACAGACCTCCATCCAACCTCTGCTTAAAAACCTCCAAGGAAGTTCAGTGATTCATGGTCTCAGAATATTACAAGTTTAACTCAATCCTAGTTTTTCAATTGCAGTTCTAATGTGTTTTTTAATGTGATGATGATGATTATTATTAATATGATGTATAGTACATTGGTACCTCAGATTTCTAGAATCTCGGAAGCCAAACATTTCGGTTTTTGAACGCCGAAAACCTGGAAGTAACTGCTTTGGTTTTCAAACGCTTTTTGGAAGGCGAACAGCTTCTGCTGTGTGTTTTTCAGTTGTCTCCATTGACTTTGGAGACTGCTGTTTGTGCCTCAGTTGTCGAATGTCTTGGAAGTCAAACAGTCTTCCAGAACAGATGACGTTTGACAACCGAGGTACCACTGTAAAGTATAATTATTTCATTTATACCCCGCCCACTCTTGGTGGCCTCCAACACTCGTAAAAACATAATGAAACATCAACCATTAAAAACCTCCCAATACAGGGCTGCCTTCAGGTGTCCTAAAAGTTGTGTACGTAGTTATTTGTCTCCTTGACATCTGATGAGAGGGTGTTCCACAGGGAGGAGATATAGAAATGTTTTAATAAACAAATAAGAAATAAGAAGCTTTGCACTCAGATGTGAAATGTATAGTAAATATTTGTGGCTGAAGCTTCCTGCAGCTTGGAGAAGTTGTCCAGAGCTGTAGGATGGAATTAACGTTGCTTGCTAAATACCGCCCAACAAAGCATAGCTATTTTTAAATAAGCCTCTGTGGAGATTTGTAAATTCAGGGAAAGGAGAGAATAATCAAAGCAAATATTTAACATGTTTTCTGCCAAGTCATCTTTAGTTTGCTTTGTGTTTTACAACATTAACATGGCTATATTGCTATAATACCTCCTGCAGACACAAAAATATGCCTTTGTTCTTAACACTAGAACAATTTGCATTGCAGTTTTCAGTACTATATTACAGAAACATCTCATTGTATTTGGTTATTTTCTGAAATACAAACTTTGTGAGTCAGACACGAGTTTTTATGTTTAGTTACAACTTACTCTTCTGGGTTTATCCATATTTAATGCTTATTTCCTATATAAAACAGTTGTATGCTGAAACCAGATTCTCTTTTACACATTATCAGATTGCAGTTTTGCCGACGATATTCAGCGTGGAAATACTCGACCTCTTTTTCAATTGCAAAATAGCCTGTGCCCTGCTGCTAATCATTTTCACAATGTAACATTGATTACACCTAACTTTAACGCTATGTCATCTTTCAGTCACAGTATCATTGCAGAGTCACAGCACTGACAGATGCTTCCACCAGAAATACAATCATGCAATTTATTCTCCTCACCTCAGAACACCGATGGCACAGGGTCCTGATCTGGGCTGGGATAATAGTAAAGCAGATATGGTGGAACCCCTGACCTAAGCCCTAATTCGGCACCACAAGATTATTTTGCTCAGTGTGTGGACAGCTGCTCCACACCTTGCATCCTATGCGACATCAGACATGGGGCAGGTGGAAATGTGAACGCCAGTGTAAAATTGGGAGCCTTGAAGGGATCCTAACCGTTCCCTGGCAACTGAAGGTTGCAGCCAATGCCCATTCGCTGATTGGCATTGACAGCAAGTTTCCTATGATAGCAGTGGAGGACTCCGTAGAGGAACCAGTCCTCATAAGGGAGCTGTTCCTGGAGGAAGAACTGTGAAGGGAGAGACTCCATCAGAAAAGGCCTCTTTCCCCTGCCTTGCCCCACCCTCCGGCCCTAGGAGTCCTCATGAGGGAGCTGGTCCTGGAGGAAGAACTGTGAGGGGATAGACTCCATCAGGCAAGGGGCCAGTGTAGTGTAGTGGTTAAGAGCGGTGGACTCGTAATCTGGGGAACTGGGTTTGCGTCTCTGCTCCTCCACATGCAGCTGCTGGGTGACCTTGGGCCAGTCACACTTCTCTGAAGTCTCTCAGCCCCACTCACCTCACAGAGTGTTTGTTGTGGGGGAGGAAGGGAAAGGAGAATGTTCGCCGCTTTGAGACTCCTGAAGGGGAGTGAAAGGCGGGATATCAAATCCAAACTCTTCTTCTTCCTTCCACCTGCCTTGCTCCACCCTCTGCTTCTCAATGTGTACTGTATTGCTTTATGTACTGTGGCTTGCCGTTGTTTTATTGATTACAGTTTAGATATTATTGTAACTGTTGAGTGGATTTCTGTTTACCTTTTATGTTGATATTATTTTATACTAGGGACGTTGGTGGCGCCGTGGGTTAAACCACAGAGCCTAGGACTTGCCGATCAGAAGGTCAGCGGTTCGAATCCCCGTGACGGGCTGAGCTCCCTGCTCCTGCCAGCCTAGCAGTTCGAAAGCACGTCAAAGTGCAAGTAGATAAATAGGTACCGCTCCAGCAGGAAGGTAAACAGCGTTTCCATGCGCTGCTCTGGTTCGCCAGAAGTGGTTTAGTCATGCTGGCCAGCTGTACGCCGGCTCCCTCGGCCAATAAAGCGAAATGAGCGTCGCAACCCCAGAGTCGGCCACGACTGGACCTAATGGTCAGGGGTCCCTTTACATTTACCTATTTTATACTATTCTAATTGATTGTTGATTGCTACTTTTTTGATGTAGGCTGCCTATTTTAAAGTTATGTTTTATTATCACATTTTTGTATTGTATTAGATTGTTCTAAGATGTACATTTTTTGTTTCTTCAGCTTGTAAACCGCCTTGAGTATTGGAAGATAGAAAGGTGGTATACAAATTAAAAATGATTCTGATGCCCAAAGCAGGTTTGCTGTAAGCACTAATATTCATTGCATCACTAATTTGAATTGATGCTGGTCAGAGGAAGGATCCCCCTCTGCAGGCAAAGTTCAAGCTATGCCCCTGCCAATTATTATTTTTTTTAGTTTGGGTCAGCTGACCTCTTGGTGATGTCAGGTGATTCATAAATGGCCAGCTGTCAAAATGGGCTCGCGGTGGTGTTCAGGATCTCAGGTCCTCACCCTTGTAATAAAGGGTAAAATCTAACACACACACGCCCATTCTCAAAAAATGCTAATTATGTGTCTCGTATAACTCTCAGCTACTGCTATGTATGGATAATGGAAACATATACAATGAATTACCGGTAAATTGATCCCTAAAATGCAAAATGTCGCTGGCATCCATTTGTTTTGAGACAATGGAGTGCGCCTCCAGGAGTGAAGTCAAACCACTGTGTTAGCAGCACTGAAGTGACATCCCCAGGATGGAAGCCTGGGGTGTATGGAGGCCCTGGGTTGCCCAGATAGCATGGCCCCATATCTTGGCTTGGCTGATGTGGTCCGAAGGAAAGCAGAGCAATATCTGGCACCAGCTTGGCTGTAGGAATTGCATTACAGTGGACGCTCGGGTTGCAAACATTATCCATGCGGGAAGCACGTTCGCAACCCACAGCGTCACATCTGTGCACGCACAGGTTGCAATTCGGCGCTTATGCGCAAAGCACAATTTAGCACTTCTGCGCATGTGCAAAAGCCGAAACCTGGAAGTAACCTGTTCCGGTACTCGTGGGTTCGGCGCAGTGTGCAACCCGAAGCACCTGTAACCCGAGGTATGACTGTATAATACTAGGTATGAGACAAGCTATAGCTCACTCCTAGGCACCATTTCATGTCACTAGCTTAGCCTGACAGAACAAAGCACAAGAATCTCACATTTACCAATTTCTAAGGGCTCTTACTGTACTTTACTATAGCCGTGAACAAAGAACCCAACTTTTTATTTTTAAAAATCAGCTGTTTGTTTTTGGAAAAACCTAATTATCGGCTATACATTTAGTTAACAGAATGAAGATTGTATAACCCATTCTCTGAGAAGAACCGGTTAATGAAAGCTCTTGTAGAAATACACAAGTTAACACAGCAGGGTCAGTCTGTGCAGTTTCCCGCATGAAAAGGTCGGACAATTGTTAATAATGAAAACTTGCAATGTTGAAAGAGCCTGCGCTCCAATGCTATTCAACACGCTCAGGTTATGAACTACGTGGGAGGCTGTTTTCCATTATGTTGCTCTTAATAGAATAGCAGCACCTTACCCAATCCTTATCTTGGGTTTTAAGCACTGTCTTGATATTAAGCTAGCTTTGCTGGGCAGCTGTGAAAGTCATTTATACTAACAATCTAGACTTAATTAGTAAAGAAATAATAATGTAGCAACTGTAATAAGCACATTTTGCAGCATATAAGCTAAGACACGAACGCTTTATTATAAGAGACTGTAATCAGTCAACCGTCAGTTTGTGTGAAAGCAAATTTGGATCTGGCATGCGTATTTCAATCTAGAAGCTACAGGCTCACACTGATAGCCACTCCATTAGGTTCATTAGTCAAATTTGAAATACTTTGCTTTCTTACAAATGCACCCAAGGTGGCTTATGCGAAATCAATGCAGTACAAAATACAACCTAAAAATAAATGAGCATCTAAAAGCAAGCAGTTTTGAAAACACATCACAAAATGAAGTATTAGGAACAGTGGGATTGTATGTTCCTATCCTCCAACTTGTTTCTTCTGCCAGCTTTAACAAGGGCCCCCTCTTAACCAAGATTTGAGGCTGCTTCTATCATTAAGGA